TTTATCATTTATTGAACAAAGCTCTTCGTACACTGGACATTGATTTACTTTATTTACTTGGATTCTTTATTCGTGATCTTCGAGAGCAACTTGAACAATATCGATCTCCGTCACCGATTCGTATCTATCGAACTCAATTAATGTCCAAAACGGAAGTTCAACAGTTGGATAATTTCAGAGGACAATTGATTTCCATGAATTCATTTCTTTCCACGACACTTGATCGTGAAGTGGCTGTAATTGAGCGAGAAATGGATTGAATATTTTCAACAATTTCTACAAGTCGTTGGTGTAACTGATGTGACATATTATCATGCAGCTGATATACGCAATTCAGGTCAATCAATTATTATTATTTTTTTGTCAAATTTCTAAGGAAACTATACAAAATCAATTGTCAGCATTTAATTTTACCACAGTAATAACGAGAAATTTACTTACAAATAAAATTTTAAATGCACAAGCACAAGCGTTTATTGTAAGTAAATTTCTCGTTATTACTGTGGTAAAATTAAATGCTGACAATTGATTTTGTATAGTTTCCTTAGAAATTTGACAAAAAAATAATAATAATTAATTGACCTGAATTATCAGCTGCATGATAATATGTCACATCAGTTACACCAATGACTTGTAGAAATTATTGAAAATATTCAATCCATTTCTCGCTCACAAAATCTGATTGACATACTTGATGATACCTGGGTGAAAATGAAATGAACTGCTGATATTCAATTGAAATGTCGGTACACGGGCAGACGAGCGTTTGAGGATATTTTTATTGTAACTGAACATACTCATCTAATGATGATTCTTTCACACTCTGACTTTGTGTTTCAATTTCCACAGATGTATAGATAATTAGAATAACGACCGAAATGTTAATAAAACGAGAGATAGACGCGTTGATATACGTCGACTTTCTTTGTTATTATCAATTATTTTTTCTGGATCAGAGAACAAATTCAATGTTTCGAAATACGATTTAATAATACGATAGTTCGATCGTAGTGTACAGCAACAGATACCGGGCATCTTTTTGTTTTTTTAGTTCACAACACTTTTTTATAGAAAGTCATTTTAAAACGAGAAAAGTAGAAAGAAAGCGAAGCATGATTTTTCTCCCTTCTAAAATCTTTGTATTGAAAGTAGGTGACTCATTTTCCAATTCTTTTGTGGAAATATAACGTGTGTATGTGTGGTATACATACGATATTCGGAGAAGCAGCGATGTTTTTTCTAATTCTCGAAAGAAATTGTGCTCTTTCGGTAATTCTGTTGATTACACGACTTATTTAAAAGTATAAGCTGTATAAAAAGAGATGCCAAAATTCCTTGATCTGTCAACTAAGTAAAAGTTATATAAACGAAAGAAGTAACAGTTGGTTACTGAGACCGTACGAGAGATAATGAAGAAGAAAAAAAAGAACTCTTACTGGGAATCAACTTACGTCAATAAAAACAGAAAGGAAGGTGTCAATTTAGTCTTCTATTTCTAATTGTGCGAAAAAAACTACTTCTTATGTTAGAGAAGCTGTACAACACAGGTAGATGAGCGCACAGTTTTCATTCTTCTCGCAATGATTCTTCCTTTTTAAGAGAGATTTCTTTATAAAGCGATATGACCCTGAATTTTGGACCTTTCAAATAGAATCGGTCATGTGACTCGCAGTTCACCAAATATGCATTTTGCAACCCTTGAAGTTCTGCATTTAATGAAGAGAAATGTTTTGTTCTAAAATCGCTATGAAAAATGAGTTTAAATAAGACCTAGTGTAGTGAATTTTTGAGAAAGGTCAATGTTATTTCGCGAAATGCTCGTTGTTAGCGTTATTACTAATCAAAACAAAACTGATATCCGTTACCAGCATGAAGAGGCACTTCAAAGGACCTATGAACCAATTAAAATTACAAAAATCATTTTTCTATGTTTTTTGAGGTTTAGATCTTCCCTATTCGATGTCTTGTTAAGCAAGAATGCAAGATCGTGTGACATTTCTTGCCCCAAGAAAGTAGTTTTCTTGCGCAAGAAAAATATATGAAAACTTTCTTGTGACAGGAAACTTACCCTAGCGAAAGTTCTTGGGCCCAAGAAATAGCAAGATCTTGGGGCAAGAATGTCCCAAGATCTTGCCATTACTTGTGCAAGAAACAATTTTTTATCTTCTTACTCAAGAAATGTATTTCTTGCTATGATAAAACGTTTTAGCAAGAAAAAGTAAAAAAATAAAATGTCAGGACTCAGATTCGAACTCGCAATGCAGCGAGATTTCGTTACTGATTCTGGTATTATCAATACTGCTGCCACTGCCGTTATTGCCCCTCCCACGGCCGCTATTGCCGCTACCACTTGCCCTACTGCGCTCCCCCTTGCTCTGCTTTGCGCCACCGCCAGTTTCACGGATACTACCCTGAGTTTCTCTAGTATTTCAACCAGTTTTTTCGTCAATTTCCAAAATACCAATATTGAATTAACCATCATTTCTAGATTCTTGCTCTTGTAAAAGAAAAAATAGGCAGTAGTGTCAAACTTGAAAGTTGAATTCAAGTATTCAACTATTACTTCAACAATTCAACTATTCGTTCAACTATTCAACTAACTAGTCGTTCAACTATTCAAGTATTCAACTAAGTATTACTCTTTTTTCCAAACCCTCAGGGTGCCCGTTTCACCCACACTATGCTGCGCACTCAAGATACCCATCACCCTCATCAAGTATTCAATAATTGAATAATTGAACTTTCCTAGTATTCAATTATTGAATAGCTGAATACTTGAATTCAAGTTTCAAGTTTGACATTTATGTAAATGGGGGCGGGTGTGTGTGTGTCGCTAATCAGGCCCTACTAACAGCTTCATAAAACAACACCCAGACAGTTCTATTCTACCAGCAGCAACAATTATTATTAGTTTAATGATAAACTTTTTGTACAAAATAACTGTTTGTACAATGTTCAATTACAATGTTCAATTAATCAATAAATAAAATAGATAAAATTCTTCTTTGTTGTTTTGAGAAGAAGGTGATGGAAATCGTGATGCTGATGTAAAGAAGGAGAAATGAAAATAAGTATTGCAAACGCAAATACTAAATTATAAAAATATTAAATATAAATTAAATGTAAAATTTAATTCATATTAATTACTAAAATATAATAGTAAAGCTCCTCCTTCCCGGTATATGAGAGAAGAAGAAGAAGAAGTGGTTTAATTTGAAGATTAATCAGAAGAATCTCTCTCTATAAATGTTAGAGAGAGAGAAGATGAAGGAGATAAGAGATATTACTTTGAAGTTGAAAAGTGAGTGACAAGAAGAGATCTGAATTTGAAGTTGAAAAGAATGATAAAAGAATCGAAATTTACTTTCAATTATGATTTGTTTTTCGTTTTGTTCCCCGGAAACGACTTGTATTAAATGAATACATAATAAATAATTTCTTTCTTCTATTATCTCTTTCACTAAAACCGCGAAACTACGAAGTTTTAAGAATTTCTAGAAACTGTGATAAGCATAGAGAATAATGTAATAGCAATGAGCCGTTACAATCATCCCGTCGCCCCGGGAGAATCCGTTCCGGATTCAAAAATCAGGATATAGCAAGACGTTCAGCTCTATGACCCTGCTTGCCTTTCATTTTGCTTTTCTTCTGCTTGATTTTCGAGAGTAAATGATTAGCGCCACCGAAAAGAAATCTAACTAGCTTGTGAGGATTTTTCTAGAAACGTTTAGTATAGAGATTGGCACCTATTCATTTATCTCATTTGAATGATAATTCAAAAAGCAGCAAGTCTGTTCTCTCTCTTCTGTCTCTTCAACTCATAAAGGACGGGAAACGGTTTCTGCTAGAAAATCGCCCAATATGATTTTGAGTGGAAATGATCGGAAATGCTTCCCTTTTCACTTCCAAACACTTCCCATTTACAAAAAATCCTTCTGGTGACTTTGAAAAAAAAATTACTTTTCATTTTTCGCCACCAGTTCAACAAAAGCCATTTACCTTTTCCCGCAAAGTACTCATCCGATTTCAAAGTCCTTGAGCAAAGCGCATACAGAGTAAAATAGAGAATTCTCTGGGCTTCAAAATAAGCTATAAACGAGGTTTCCAAAAATATGCCCATACAGGACAATTGTCGAAATACTTGGCCGATATCATCATTTTCACCTATCTTAGTGCCTTAAAGGAATATTTCTTGAACTCATCTCCTCAGACCCGGAACGTTTTATATACAGAAAGATAGAGAATTTTCCAGGCTTCAAGATAAGCTACAAATAAGTCTTTCGAAAATATGCCCACATGGGTCAATAGTCGAAATACTTGGCCGATATCATCAAGTTCACCTATCTTAGTACTTGAAAGGAATATTTCTTGAACTCATCTCCTCAGATCCGGAACGTTTTATATATAGAAAGATAGAGAATTTTCTAGGCTTCAAAATAAGCTATAAATAAGTGTTTCAAAAATATGCCCATACAGGACAATTGTCGAAATACTAGGCAGATATCATCATTTTCACCAATCTTAGTGCTTTAAACACTCCTTTAGTCATTTTTGTGCCACAATGAAAAATTATGTATTGTTCAAAAATATACCATTGGATAGCTCTTGCAATTCTCTACAAAGCGAGCTGGTCAGAATATCCAGACAGGTGTTGCCAGTCATTAAAGATATGTAAAAGAAGCGTTTGGGTGTTATCTATGTAGTGCAGTGTGTCATAATCACAAGAACTCCTTTGTTTTTTATTTTTCAGTAAAAGCGGGAACCAATCTGAATACTGTTTTGAATAGACCGAAGATTTTTCTATCAGATGAGGGGCATATCGCCGTTTCATGGGAAAAGTTGATAATAGGGTTTCTGGAAAACCTGACCGCTAGAAAACCAAGTCCTTGGTTTTTAGTCACAAAACTTTGCGAACCATATAGCATGAT